GCCTCCGAACCTTTAAGAGACACGGTTCTGGATTTGGTACACTTTGGAAGGTTGTAAGTTTTTTTTCATATCGTGGTCTTTCTGATCGGGTTGGAATTCCTGTGAGATCTCCATTCGTTCTCCAAGGCTGAACCGAGAGTTCCATATGGAAACTTTTTCAGAATATTTGACAAATTGCACTTCGAAATGTCACAAAGACTTGGAGCTGTCTACTACTTTGTCACGACGGTAAAGATATGCATCCAAACTGGTGTTCTTTGATTCTAAGTGTTCTAAACTTTGCTCAGCTTTTCGTCCACATAGGTACGCGTGCGCTCCAGAGGTCTCTGAATGGAAACTGGTCACCTTATCTCTAAAATTAGGTTTATGAAATAATCATCACAAGCAGTGATATCCGACCTAGAGGCCAGTGTTTCTAGTCCGTATCTGGTGTTCTAGCCAATGAGCTGACAAGAAGTCATGTGTTTTAAATCACTGACCTTGGTATTTTTGGATGAACTGACCAAAGTCATTCCGTCCTTTGGTATGCACTTTGCACCCACAAAGTGTAAGGCCGTGCTTCTGGACGTGCAGTCACTGAGCACGCTACTTACAATCCAGGGAGAGGTACTGGAAGTTGTGGAGCGTTTTACGTATCTTGGAAGTTGTATTAGTTCTGATTTTAGTGTGACAGACGACGTGAATGCACGAACCTGCAAGGCTCGGGCCGCGTTTGCTATTTTGAGACACCTGTGGCGTCAGAGTATTTTATCCCTGAATCTGTATGGATGGGTGTATCAAGCTACAGTACGTGCTGTTTTGTTGTGTGGCTGTGAGACTTTGCCTATTCGAGCAGCGGAACTGAGACGTCTTCGGGTGTTCGACAATCGTTGTCTCAGAACCATAGCTCGTGTGGGTTGGCGTCGGCGTACCCATTATAAGGCGATGAGGAAACGAGTTCCCGTTTGTGCAACGGGTACTTTAATTGAAGAATGTGTCCAGCACCAGAAGCTGCGTTGTTTGGAACATGCGTTGCGTATGCCGAACCATCGTTCGCCGAGGACAGTACTGTCTTCCATGCCCAACTTAGAGTGGCATAAACAGAGAGGTGGCCAGCCCGTGACTTGGCAGAGGAGTATGAGTCTACTCGCCATTTAGGATGAGGACCGCGTGATCCTCTTTGTGCCTGGTCGGAGACACTACAAGATATGGCTGCCAATCGATGTCAGTGGCGTTTTTGTTGTCAGTTTCTATCCAGATCGCCTGGGTGAATGTCTGGAGGTGTAGGCACCTCGGAATGATTGTGTTAAGCTAGCACTAAGTCCCTTCCCCATCCACCTTTACTTTTTCTTTACAATAAGGCTTTCAAATAAATAATGGTTGTATGGTAGCAAAGCATCGCCGTTGAACACTGATATCATGCTGTCGATGGCGATGACGACCAAAAGATCCGTACTTCGAATCCAAACCCCGCATCTCGACTGATCCTGTTTAACCTTGGACTCTCGTACTTCCTTTGAGTAGCATGACAGCTAGGTACCGAAGGAGAGCCGGAGCTGAACAATTGGTTATTATTACTGTGCCAGTGGGAGATCATTTTTTCCGTCAAAGGAAAACATGTACTACGATAGTGATATGCGTACCGCTTCACTGGTCAGAAACGTGGCCTCCATGTGCATGAAATGTACGGAAACTCTCGGGGTTTGACTACCGGTGTCTCCGAAGCACGTTTACTCTTTTCTTTACAATAAGGCTTCCAAATAAGTCAAAACTGTACAGCGGTTAACCATCGGTGTTGAACATCGATGTCATACTTTCGATGATGATGATGTGATATAAAATTATGCAAGCATTACAAATGCCAAAAGGACAAAAAAGCGCCAGTAGTTCAACCAATCTGACCAACACTGATGATTTTCTTAGTGTGGAAAAATTTCTGCAAATAACTTTTTTAAACATATTTTAATCCCACAAAGTGATGTAGAAAATAATCTATGGCTCACTGAGTATTTTGAGAATTTTTCCTAAACTCGGGACTGTTTGTTTGGTACTTTGATCGCGTATGCTTCGTTGATTGGAATCACACCATTTACAGGTGCATCGAAATAGCCACTTAATGGCAGGGGCTGCATGTACAATTAATCATTCGTTGTACACTAGAATTCTACAACATGTAACTTTTTGTACATGTCATTAGCACTGACAAGATTATGCACACTAACTGGAATTGGGAGTGGTAGCCCGGGATTCTGTTGCTGTAAATTTTTGTGACAGAAGTCACTTCGAACTGTTTCCATGCCTGATCCAATTGGGACAATCCATCCTCACCGCTTTACTCCCGAAGCATCGACCTATCCAGTTGTATTTCCTACTACATGATTTACTCCATTCATGAGCTTTCGGTCTCTACGCAGTCGTAGTCCGTTTCTTCGTTCATTTCCAACGGTTATCACAATTCTTTCCATGCAGCGTTTCGCTTTCACTGGACACGCTTAGAATCTGCCTAAGGACACACTATTATCTTATCTTTCCGGTTCATTTTTCTATTTCCTCCAAAGTCACCGAGCTATAGTCGTCGGTAAGCCTTTGTGAGTTCTTTAGACCAGTGCAGTACGTGGCTCAACTGCAAATCTCTGAAAATGATTTCATGGCGTGTTATTTCTGTCTGATCGATTGCCATAGACTTGTTTGTGAGAAGGAAACCGCTAGACTCTGACATCTTGTAGATACCCAGTCGGTTCTGTCGCCGTATTCATCTTACCAAGATGCGATATGTACCTTGTTGTAAACAGCAGAACAAGAGACATCTTGACAAAATGTCACCAACCTCAGTATTTTGTTCTCAAAATCAATGGAGTTCTTACTTTTATAGGTTCTTAATTTTCTCTTCTACTTTTTCACCACTGACGATTTCGCTGCATCCGATTTCGCTCATATTTATGCTTTTGAAGAGGATTATTCCTTTCACCGGCTTTATTCTGCAACTCGCTTCCCAGTTACGGACTTGTTGTGACTGGATGCAGTCCATCACTGCAAAGTTGTGGAGCGTTCTACATATCTTGGAGATTGCACTAGCTCTGATGGTAGTGGGACGGATAACGTCGATGCACAGATCTGCAAGCCTGCGGCCGCGTTTGCTATTTTGAGACAACTAAAGTGTCAAAGCGGTATATCTCTAAGTCTTGAGAAACGTGTGTGTCAGGCTATAATACGGACCGTTTTGTTGTGTGGTTGTGAGAATCGGCCTGGTTAGCGTCTTCCGGAGTTCAACGGAAGGCTATGGAAGCGATTACGAAACGTTTGGGTGCTGTCGGTGCCACTCGCCTTCCAGGTAAGGAACCTTGTGATCTCTCCTGCACCTGGTTGGAGACGCTCTAAGATATGGCCACTAATGTCAGTAATATTCTTGCTGTCAGTTTCTATCCAGATTGCCTGAATGAGTGTCTGGAGGTTCAAGTGCACTAATTACCTCCTCCGTCCACTTTCATTCTTTTCCACAAAATAAGGCTTTCAAACAAATTATAGTTGTGCGGCAGTGAGGCATCAGTTTTGAACACTATCATGCTCTCGACGACGATGATGGTGATGATGATGAAGCAGGGCCGCTTTGGCATGGATTTCAATTCCATCCATGGTTTCCACCTCAAAGTTGTCTTTATCAAACTACGCTCCCCTTCGCAAGCCTCCTCTCGTTCTACTATTGGTGCAATAATCTCTAACAGTACTTTTGGTCGCTAACATTTCAACCAGTTACCAGTAGGGCTTCAAAGTTGTCGCTTTGTCCCATTCCCTTCTGAACTCTATTCCAAAATCTCTGGACATATAATCTACCGAGTTCTTCTGCTCTTTCAGACCGCTCACTTCTTGACGTAATCCAACGTAACTTTGATATTCTGTGGCCGACCAATCCTTTTTCACTTGATACCGACAGTCACAAGGCAACAATCTGCTTCGTACGCTGATTGCTTTTGGAAGATCGTCACCATTTCCGCAATCCATTACTTTCGGAACTGCCCGTCCATGGAACACCACCTACTCTTTTTGAGTCTGATTTCTTGGTTTGCGGACGCTTAGGATGCCACGATATCCGGGTCCTTTGAAATGTGTGAGTGTTATTGCCTCTCTTTTGTTAGTCATCTTGGTATTTCAACATTTATTTTGTCGCCGATTCTTGGTTTTCCCAGTGGTGATCTAGTTGTGCGATCTCCGTCGTTATGTAACTCTTCCACGCAAGTCAGGAAAACATTCAGTGAGTAACACTGTCGTTGCCAGAAACTCTGGCGGATTCATCTCAAGAGCTTGTCGCCGTCATTATCGCCAGAACTGTCGTCAACGTGGCCTCCACCATCATTATCATTATCATCATTCTAATTGTTATCATTAACATGTTAATCGTCATGGACGACGTCAACAATAATGATACTGACACATCATTGCTGCACAGTCACAGGTAGTATTTATAAAAGATGAAAAAAGGAAAGAATGAACAGAAAAGAGAACCGAGGCTTGATAAAAAATACCTGTCCGAGGTACTCCAGCTTCAAACGCTTACCTAGGCTATTGGAGTAGAAGCTGATTACGCAAACACCGTACAGCTGGATTAGTGGCCATATCTAACATTACTTTCAACCGAGTGCACAGAAGTCCTGTTGTGTTCCACTGAATCACATGCTGTTCAGCCAGCGGTTGGCAGCCCTCTGGCGGAAAAGTTAAACACAGCTAATCCTCAAAAACGATGGTTTAGCGTGAGTAGTATTCAGCCAAACGACCGTTAGGTTCTTTCCCAAAGTAAAGTATTAGTTGTCTTGCAATGCATTTAGCTAGAAACAAGGACAGTCACGAGAATGTTCCTACTTAATATCAGACTAATTCCGCAGAACCAAAGACCTACGCGGTCGTTTTCAAATCTATATGGCTTGTCGTAGATCTACCCTACTTTAATATCCGTTGTAATGGAACTGATGGTGCTTCAAGATATTTCCAAAAGTTTTTTTGTGTTTCTAGGTTGATTTGACCTGGGAATGAACCGACCGAGCGATAAAATGGAGCAGTCAAAGGACTGTGTTATTACCAACCGCAGGATCTTATGTCAACCATCCTCACCAGTCAAAGTTGTCTTGGAACAAGTTGATATCAGCTACCGCAAGTATCTAGAACAGCTGAGGGAAAAGAACCGGCAACGTCGTGCATTGCAAAAGAAATCTCGTGAATCTATCAGACGACATAGACTGGAGGACGGTTTCAAGTTGTACTTTAATATTCCATCTCAGACTAAAACACCGATTCCACGTGTATATAAAACTGCGATCGAAAAACCCAATTCGGCACATGAATACAAACGATCACCAGATCAGGGAACCCCACTAAATCAGCCCAGTAACCGTGCTACAAGTGCTCCTAACTCGAAGCGACGCCAACAACCGAGAAGGGCTTGGGTGAGTAGTGTGGGACCAGACAACGATTACAGGCAGATTCAAGAAGGATTACCGGATTCCAGACGAGTTTGCTCGAAACCAATGAGCTCACCTGCACCCAGCAAGCCGGCACAAATGCCTGAAGGAAAGATTTCTGTGAAAAATGAAACGAATGTTCCTCGGTTCCTTGGTTATCATTCAGATGACTTGGACTCACAGCGGGTGCACTATGGAAAACCGATCCAGTCGGTTGTGATCCAACTAGATGTTTTTGATAACTGGGGCGACCCAGATATCATAGGGCTGAATTGTTTGAAGCTTTTTTTGAACGGTAGAGAGTTCTGTCAGGTAACTGCGGTTGATATCAAATGCATTTTCCTGGATGGGTCCGAGTTCGATGACTTTACTAATTCACCCGAAACGCTGCAACGACTCATGCTAGCACCTTGTCATTCCACCAGCCTGTGTGATTTGTGGATGACGAAAGCGAGCCGTGTTCCTTTTAGGTTGCTGATGAAATTTCATAAGATTATGCATTCTGCAGTTATGTCCGATTTTCAATTCTTGCAGCTGCGTATCTGGAATTTTAACGTTCCAAATATGCTTGAAGCTGGGATAAAAAGCTGCACATTATCGATTGAAATCAACGAAACTCCAGTTGTCAGTGGTCATTGCATACAAGTCAAAAAGGCGAGCGGAATGTCGTCTGGAGATAATGATACTCTGCTTCAAATCTTGCTCAGCTCAGATCATGATGGGCAGTGGGAAGCGGGTAAGATTTTGTCAACCGGTGAATTGCCGCATTCAACGGAGCTTGGGCGCAACTGTCCAGAGATCTCCCACATAAGTCTGCTTGCTAATGTGAATGAAGATCTACTCACTCAACAACGGTGTGGTCAGCATAAACGTCCATTGTCGAAAAGCTTGAAGAAATTCGACTCTCTGGAAGAGTCATGGTCGTCACTTGACTTTTTCAACCATTTTCATGCTGGCAGACTGTTTTCTGACCGCAACTCTTTCAACGACCCGTATAAAGTGCATTTCGGACAAATATGCGATAACAGCTGCATGCCTAAACTGAGTCGTGACATTAAAGATTGCTCAACGAACGTGCCTGTATCAAATGTTTCTCAGACATGTGGTAACGAATTCGAAAGTCAGGCTCTGGAGGACTCAGATTTAACAGGTATACCGACTGCTGAAATGCAGACTAAACTATTCTCTCCTTGTCGCCCATCAGGTCGAGGGGTTATTATTCCAGAATTACCCAGTGGGAGAAGATTACTGATAGACATAATCAACACATGGGGTGATCATTATTATGTAGGCCTGTCTGGTATCGAGATATTTACTACAGATGGAAAGAACATCTCCTCATATTGTAGTGCTTGTGCGGACCCGGCAGATATCAACATACTTCCGGAATATGGACAAGACCCAAGGATTATTGACAACATTTTGGATGGCGTGAACTGGACTCGGGATGATGTTCACATGTGGTTGACTCCCTTTACAGCAGGTGAGAGACATCTAATAGAGATCACTCTTCCATTGTGGGCTAGACCGATAGCAATGTTGCGAATATGGAATTATAACAAATCCCGAGTTCACACATCACGTGGTGCCCGCGAAATTATTATGTATATGGATGATGAACCCATATTTCAGGGAGAAATACGCCGAGCAAGTGGTTTGGAGGCGGGATCTCCAGAGGAATGCAGTGAAACCATTTTATTCACGACGAATGATCACATACTTGAACTGATTGCCGCAAACGATGAAACGTTGAAAATTCAGACTGATTTGCCTGATGCGCTTGATGAGCCATGTGATATCGAAACTGATTTGCCTGATGATGCGCTTGATGAGCCATGTGATATCGAAATGCGCCCAGTCACCGTTGTATCACAGTCTGACGTTCATTCGGAAGTTACCTCTGAGGAGCAAAAGTTTATCAGCTCTGCTCTGAAAGAATTGTCACTTGAAGTGTCTTCTGTGGAGAGTCATCTGATTAATTTTCTTGATATTCTTTTACTGGAACCGTGGCAGCCGGACTCCAAACACGTTGGATTGGCTGGCATTGAGTTACTGGACGAGAAGTTTCAATCCATGCGTATCGAAGATGTTTCCGTCTTGAAAGACAGTTCTGTTGTTCAAAAATCTGTTGGCGCGCTGTTGGATAAGAAAAACGATACTATTGACGCGACAAACATGTGGTGTTGTGATTATGATCCTCGATCCATATTTCGATTACGCGTTCGACTCTCCTCTGCTAGCCAAATATCTGGGATCCGAATTTGGAACTATAACAGTAGTCACGTCGAACATGATTATGGAGTGAAGTTGATAAAGCTAGTGGATGATCATGGACACGTTTTGGGGAGAACGAACAATACGGATGTCATTGTGGTGCGACGTGATCTGGGTCATAATTTGTATCGTATTGCCCAATTGGTACTACTGAAGAGGACGTTGGAAAGAGAGCAACTTTTTGAAGTTTATCCTGCTCTCACCTATGAAGACACTCAGCACAACGCTCTCCCACTTGGGTTTGTTTATCAAATACAGATATTTTCTGCTTGGGGTGACGAGTATTATGTAGGACTCAACGGTTTACAGCTTCTTGGCCCAACAGGACTTCCGATTCCAAGAGAGGCTTTTCATATCTTCGCATCACCCAAATCGGTCGACGAGCTGTACCCAATGGCGCAGCGGAGTCCGGATGTTCGGACAGCAGACAAACTTGTGGATGGCATCAACTGCGGTCCAGATGTTGCTCATCATTGCTGGCTTGCCCCCATTTTTCCGGGGAAGGTGCCGAACTTGTTTTTAGTTTTTGATGAGCCAGTCAAATTAGCTGGTTTACGAATATGGAACTACACAAGATCACCAGAGCGCGGAGTGCAGGAGTTTTCCGTTCTAGTTGATCAGCAGCTCATTTTTCGTGGCTACTTGCCAAAGGCCCAGGTGGACACTTTGGACGGTCTGCTAGCAGATAGTCGTCGGTCTCGTGTGTTGCCTAACCAAGAGATGAATAGTGTTTCACATCATCATTATACTGTTGCATTTGATCAGGAAATAGTCAAACAGTTCGATGAAGATCCCGGATGTATTCTTGGTGATGGTTCCCATATAGATTTTGGCTCAGACGGTTCGGTTCTGAAACTAACGAACGTGGACAGTCGTTTGCAACTTACGTCAACCCAGTGCTCAGGAGTTACTTACTCTGTTCCCCCGGCGAATCAAACTCTCCGACCACTTACCTGCGTGGCGCATCATTCACGAAAGCCATAGTTTTGAACAGCAACAGCGCGGATTAATTCAGCCTATCCAAGCAGGCTGTCGTCCTCTGAGGTGTACATAAACAAGTGCAGAAGAGATTCATTACTTTAACTCAGATTACTTGTGTACGCACATTACTTTTGTCACAAAATTATTGAGCAGTATTTTTGTGATATAGTTTGGTTGATGAATCTAATTTTTGGGGGTGATAAAGGGGTTTCGATGCTCAGCATCTTAGAATACAGCTCAGTTTTCAATACAGCCTTATCTGAATACTGGCTGATGATAAAAATGGTAAGAACTGAAGACCAATTGTCATGGACACCTAAAACCACGGAGTGTGCATTTGATCACTTTTTTAAAAACAGTTAGAAACCTCTGAAAAAACAGCTGTAAAAATTCACACTATTCCCATTAATACAAAAGGTACCTTTTCGGAGCACCTATACTGCTTTTGTCTTCGAGATGTCTTTTGGCTGGTGAGCCAGCTCAAACGGAGCCAGCATCTAACAAGGATTCAGTTATATATGTATAAAAAACAAACTGCGGGCTAATACTTGAGTGTCGATATTCTAGGAAAATTACTGAGCTATGCAGAAGTATGTACGTTCTTCCGTTAATAAGGAAACAGTTGGAATCGATCACGAAGTCGTTATTTCAGAGGCATCTGGAAGACAACCGATAGATTTGTTGCTCGGAAAGATCCTATCCTTTAGATTGAGTTAGTAGACAAATATGTTTACCTGGGAACCTGTATCAGTCCCGGTGGTCTCATGAAAGATGAAATTTCCATCCGGATTGGGAAGGCCAGAGCAGCTGTTGTGAACCTGCGTCACCTGTGGCGTAGGTGTGACATAATCTTCTCTGTCAAGGGTCGAGTTTACAATGCTGCGGTGCGCTCCATATTACTATACGGATCAGAAACCTGGTCGCTACGCGCCAAGGACGTCAAAAGACTTTCAGTGTTTGAACACTGATGTTTTCCGGGCATTGCCAGAATCTAGTGCGAACACCGGATCAGTGATGCTGAAGTTCGTCGAATGGTATTCGGAAGAAATAACTCACCCTCGATAGATGAACTGATCACACTGCATCGTGGCGCTGGCTTGGCCACGTGCTGCGTATGCTAGTCGGCCGACTTCCTTGAAGGGCTCTTTTCGCACAACCACGTGAAGGGTGAAGGAGAGCCAGAGGCGGTCAAACAATAACTTGGCGGCGAAGTATAAAAGCCAGTATCAGCAAATTCGGCTGCGCTGGTCATTGCCGTCTTCCTGAATGGGGGCCCCGAGACGGGCCATATCAACGTCAGACATGGCCCAGTCGCGTCCTCAGTGGCGCTCTTATATCCAAGCTATTGCCTTTAATGCGTATCTCCCTTCCCCGTCCCCCTACTTAACAGTCCACCTGCAGTGCTGTATTTACGCACTGATTTATCAGCTCCCGCCTCCAATGCGGAGCTACCTAACCCACCTCCCCGAATCATCGGTGGACGAAACTGTGGTAGCTACAACCACTGTTCGACAAGTACGCGATTATTACAGCTGACAATGATGATGATGATGAGATCTGGGAAGTATTATCTTTGGGCATGGGTCTTATTGCGCAACAGTCTTATGCGTTACACCTAACGATGACCAACGACGCAGGGGTTCGTGATCCTTCATTTGCCTCGCCAAGACTCACAATCTTGGTCCTTTCGACAGAAAAATAACAGGATCGTTAAAAGTTTTGCAGTAAGATTATCTTAGTGTGGTTTCACTGACTGCGCAACTAGTAAAGTACATCCAGCCACAACCGGAACATAAAGTGAGAACTCGGTCTACATACCAATCAAAACAAGTTAAAGGGCACGATAAAATTGGTAACCCGTCGCAGGGCGGTCATTTTGCTTAAACTTGAGAGCTATATATACAGTGTTCGTCGTTGGATTACCGAAAGATCAAGCTGATAATCAGAGTTCCGTTCGAAACAAAGTTCGAATAGCGCCATTGTTCTGTCTCAAATGTTCGATGGATGGCACACAGAGAGAACACCATTTCCAGTGCGTAAAAATTGGGATTGCCAAACTCGGATTTGTATTCTTTCTGATCCCCGGGTCTTACAATTGATGATATATTGTACTGCTCTTGCTTAAATTCCATAGGCTTTCTTGGCATTCTGCGGCTGCCTCGGACAGTGTCACCTCGCGTGACATGCCACATTTGATCACATTACTTCTTGGGACTAGGACAACCTTAACAGCGCTTATAGGGACGTTCTCTGCTTCTTGGTTGTGTGCAAACCAAGTATAGCTTGCTTATGTTAATTTGAATAGACAGTCTCAACCTTTCAGTGCTTTGATCGTAAAATTGCCACTCTGGCACTAAAATTCGGTCATCTTAGCGTCCATCGGTGACAAGTAATTGTGATCCAACGACGAACCAATATCTTCCTGTAGAGGAATTTAGTTTATTGGGGTAAAAACTAACTCTAATTGGAGCTTACTACGATCCGAATCATCGGATCCGATTCAGGACTTCTTCATTCCGTTACAGATAGATCTAAATTCGAAATGGTCAGTCGTTCCAAATTATGTGAGCAGACGCGTTCTAATACACGGAATGGTCTTGTTTGGCGTTTCTGAGCAATGGAAACAGGCTGTAGATGTTATCACGCTCCGATTTTACGACGGATGAGAGAGTGTGTAGCAAGAGAAACAAGGTTCAAACAATAAATATAGTCTTAAGTTTTGTTTAAGAGAAGTAACGCTGAAACTGCTTTTGAATAAGAACCTAGAATGAAAGTTTAGCTTTTGTTGGAAACGAAGGGTTTCTGAAGGATTATCAAATGGGTAATAGAACTCGTACTGATCAACCAGAAGGGAACTATGGAATCACTGAAATGCATCATATGATTTAAGGGAAGACGGAGGTATGATGATGACGGATGTATTTGTTACCAGATACGACTAGAAAATGAGAACTCACCTATTCATGAACCTCACATATGGGAACCAGCGAATACCAGTGTGTAAGTGATTCCCCCACACTGCGGAAAGTACTGCTCAAACGAGGCGAATCAGTGTAACAGTGGCCTGAATTTTAAAGGATGGATTTTTACACTTGGAGGCGCCAGGCTAACGTACCGCTTGAGAGATACATAATATTTTTCGACTGAGCTTACGGTTTATGTACAGACGACTCATTTTGTATTGATGTTCCGGATTCTTCATTCCTTGCTGTAACGGGACTGAATCCAAAATGGCAACTGAATCGCAAGATGATATTTCAGTGGAATTTCAGTTGTTTCAAAATGAATATACTGCCATTTATGCCTCATCGGCCGTCCCAATCAAGCGCACGCAGCACGCAATGCACCCATAACTCTTCGTGTACTTTTGATACTACTGTAAGTTATGAGTAGCTTAGTGATAGCTTAGTTCTTTCCTCTGAATCCAGTCACTTCTCTGAAAGGGTGCGAACATAAGTGGCTTTCACTTGGCTATATGTGGAACAAACAGCACCTCGACCAGATTACTGGGGTGAATGTAATATTTTGACATTTAATTCAGCTGATTACCGCAATCACAGCTAACAGGCAATAGGAAGAGAGGAACCTGTGGAGAACACAGCCAGTCGTCATGCAACGGGGCAGCGGCATACAAGCAGACGAGCTGAAAATATATTGAGTTTGGCTTCACTGACGTTTACTGGATGGATACAAAATACTTATTTTACAAGAAAAGAGAAAATGAGAGAGTTGGTTTGAGAACATGGAATAGAGTTAGAGCGTGGTGTATCGCGACAGTTTGTCTCCGCTTCACTTTTTGATGGTTTCAATGAAATATATCAACTAACAAGGAGATTATTCTAGAATGACAGCTGGCTTTACTGAGGATAAGATAATTTCCCAACCTTTAAGCGAATTTCAACTGATAGTAGCCTTCATATACCTGTTTACGAACGCTATCAGGAACCCTAATGGATTACCTGCAACAGCCCAACGCGTATTAATTTGAGCCTCTAAATGACTGGTTCCGCATTCATCACTCGCAACTATATGCTAGCAGCAATATAGAAGAAGAAGTAGAGTTTTACGGCTGAAGTTCTGGGGTTTCGTTGGGAAATTGTGTTGATAAAAAACTGGATGGAGTATAGATGAAATTAATAAAATGAAAGCAGAGCTACGTGCCACAAAATAGCATATAATAATGCCAATGGTCAAACTGATTCCCGATTTCATAGTCTGTCGGTGGCAGGTATTATGCTTCTAAGGCAAAGGAATCATCAGGGCAGAACTGCTTCCACGCTTCGCATTCCACTAGCATCACGTTTCCAAACAGTGCACACCTTGGGTCAAAGGTCATACCAAACTAATTTCTCCGTATAGCGTTTCATAAAGAGTAAAGCAGGTACCACAGAAACGTACCACGGGTTGGAGAGTGGATAGGAAGCAAGGTGAAGATACGCTATTCATAAGAATGTTAGAAGCTCTTCGAAAGTCCAAGACCGGCTTCGTCTTTCCTAGGTGTCACCATGCAGGCACAACTCCCGAGTTTCCGTCCTTTTTATGTTCTATTGGACGAGAGGCCCTCATAAAAGAGAATTTCGGCTGAATTCTGTTAATTTTTCTGTTGAAAATCAAATTAGTGGACGTAAAATAACAACCTTGACAGAGTACACTTGACAGAGTACACTTGACAGAGTACACACTTGACAGTGTACACTAAGTTCACCGGATAGCAAAACCAAAGTCGTACTGATAGGAAGCGGAGGGAAGGATCAAATCCGGTTACAGCACAAGCTCAACAAATGATAGGTGGAGTGCTGTGCGCCCAATTAGCCTTGGCTGGATCTGAGTATGTTATATTGATTTGGCCTTTGAAATTTGTCGGCTGCTTTTTCGTTAGATCTCCCGCAATTTTTACTTGCGTGCTCTCTGGAACATTGGCAAGCCTTTTCTAGATAGGACAAGGACGCGATGATAATCGGGGCACTGCTAAACCGTGTTGCTCCTTGGATAGGCATCCGGAATAGATGACATTACCNATAATCGGGGCACGTCTGAACCGTGTTGCGCCTTGGATAGGCTTCCGGAATAGATGACATTTCAACCATGATAGAAATGTGGCTGAACGCGGATGAGGCTGTTGTCGAATACGCACAAAATGCAACCGGTTACTTTTTATCTGTTAATCCGTAATAAAATTTCCTCATAAACTCTAAATAGGTTGAAGGTCATCTTGTAGGTCCAATACACAGATACTCCAACTACACTCGTTGCCAAAAGCATACATAACTAGGCAGTTCCTTTGGCAAAAACGAAAAGATTTAAAAAGTGAAAAGAGCAATGGATAAATGACTCTGTACCGGAGGAACCAAACGATCAACTAGCAAATGATTTCCCCGAAATATAGGGTCTAAAATCGATCTGAACCACTAAAATCTATTTATGGGCATTAGTTCTTTCCACTTGCATATTAATAGATAAGAATAAAGCTCTTTCAGCTCCAATAAATGGAGAAGCCATGACGTAAACATCCATTTATAAACAAACGTACTAGCTTTGAGGTATTTACTCTTTCGACTCGGCGCCTTTGATGGCTTGGCATATCCTGACTAGGAATTCCTGACGGTTTCTAAAGCGGAGTGAATACCTGCTTGAAATAGAGTTTTGCAATATTGCCTTTCAGGTCAAGCTGCACACAAGCTTCTGCACGCAAATTCTTAGTTGCTTTCAAAAGCTGAGGTAGAAGGAACCGAAGGAAGTCCCGTCCATCGGCGAAAAACGGTGTCAGTGACTGAGATTGCGCCGCTGTGTGTATGTGTGTGTGGTATACACGGCTAGAACACTGGAGTATACAGTTGTGCACTCCTAGTCGTCTGTAATGCTTGTTTTCAGATGTCAGAATGTCAACCATCGGATAGGATGGTTAGGTCGATATGCCGACTCTAGCATCGGTTGGATAAAAACTGATGACACTACGATGACGGAATCATTCTAGCCTTTCTACTATATCATCTCTGGTAAACCGGATGGATATATTTCAGCATGAGCTTCTGGTACGTTCACGAAATTCTCGAGGAAACTCATCG